ATCGCTAACGATGCCGAGTTCAAGGATCATCTGATTGATGAACGGGAAACAAGCCATGAACGCGATCGGCTCTGTGACCCGCACGAAACATGCTATGAACAGTTGGAACTTGGGCAAGGGGGTGACGGTTCTGGGCGCGGATGCATCTAGCGTTTCGGTCGATGCTCGGCTGGACAGATCTTCCTCTTCCTGATCGAGAGTTGGAGCGGTCCTCGTCGATGCAAACGTCGCCGCTGGTCCGTGGCCCGACAACAATGGACGAGTTTCGGACTCATTGCCCAGAACTGAGCCTGTCATGGTGTCTCGAGCGGTTCTGGTTTCAAGCGTGTTGTACCCGGACGATTTTGACGATCCAGCTATCTTGCCAGGTCTCGCGCGTCTAAGCAGGCTCAAGCAACGAGCGGTGATCGATTTGAAGAGCGATACAACAGGTAGATTCCTGGCAGTACCTCTTTCTTAGCCTTTTCCGCCCTTTCTTTCGGCCACGAGCGCCGGACCACCGGACTTCTTCACCGGTCGACGCCGTGGCCCAAACAAATCGGCCTCCGGCTTGTCAGCAGTCGATCTGGCATAGAGCGGCAACAATGCATCAGCGCAGTTACGCACACTTCTATGTGAGAGTAAGAGTGCATACAAGCCTGATGCTGCAACGGGCATGCATGCAACGGCTCACGCTCGACCGGAAGAAGTTGACCCGTTGTACTGTTTCATGCAACATGCGGCGACTGGCGCCTCCTAGATACACTGCTACTGATGCTACCGACCAGACAAAAAGGTATGGATGCAATGCCTTGAATATACAACTACGAGGTGTTCGTGTATTGAATGGATATTATAGAAACCCTAAGGCCCAAGTGATGTCGAGGAGATGATGGATGATCGTCCTATAATTGAACGTGTCGCCTGATGGATCGGAGTGATGTGGGGTTCCTGATCTTCTTGAAAAGGTCCCGGGTGGGTGAGGATGATACAGGTGGTGACGTGGCATTGGCAGCAGCGGTGTCGACGATCAAGATGGATCCCGGCTTGGCCGTGTAAGAAGCCTTGCGAGGGATGCCAGGCTGGCTGACGGCGAGTTGTCCGTTCGATGTAGAGTGGACTATCGTGCCGGCGAGAGAGCCATAGTTGCCGCCCCAGGCTTCTCCGGGGGTAGTAGCGATGGAAGAAGCCGAATCGCACGAGTCTCGACGAGCGAGTCCCGGCGTGGGTGCGTCAAGGTAAAGCTGGCCGTAGCCACCGGGAGAAGCTGTGTAGGACGATGATCGTCGGGACATGGGTGCTGCTTGGTAGACGTCATCGGATCGACTGCGTACGAGGGCCGCGGCGGTTCGAGCGGACCATGATGAGATGGCGGCCGCTTGTTGTGCTTGCCGGCTGGAAGATGCCTCGGCAGGTGGCGTGTAGGTCGACTTGCCGGACAATTCCACTCGCAGAGTGGTGGGAGTAGGAGGAGGAGAGTAGACACCAGGGCCAGCAGTAGCAGGCTTGACCATGACAGGCACAGGGGCAGCGGTGGTGGCGGGTGACCAGAATGATCGCATGTGGTCGATCAACTCGGGCTCTTCGACTCGAAGGTTGTAGTCGAGCAAGTACAAGAGCTGCTTCTCCATGAGATTGACCTCGGCGAGAGAGAAGAATCGACCGTATTTTTGCCAGTGCATGTTCTTGGGTGAGGAGTCATTCAGGTACTTGGCGGCGCAGATCAGGACCGCGAGGAATACTCGGTGTCGGGTGCACTTCATGCCGGTAGCCACTGTAGGCAGCTTCTCCTTTAAGCGCTCGAGATAGGCAAGGGTGACAGAGAGGGTAGGCATCTGGACGTTGGATTGAACGACCAGGCCGCGGATGAACTCCGACAGCTCGGGAAGGTCGGCGTTGCAGTCATCTTCCTCACCCTTCGGTGCCTGCCACCATTCCACAGGCTTGCCATTCAGGTCGAGATACTCCTTCGTAGGGGTAGCCGGGGGTGAGAGCATGTGAAGGTCGGCATCTTCGCTGATCTTGATGACCGATGAGGTCTTGTCGGCGATGTGCGCTGGTTTGGGTTAGCTGCTGATAGCCAAAGTACAGACCATGCACTCACTGAAGAACTCTGGTCGAACCCGGTTCTTGAGTGAATGTACAAGCGTGGGGTTGTGGGTCGAAAGTCGACAAAGGGAGGCGGGGTGTACGGGGTCTCGCAGTCGCTGAGTGGTAGCCATGGTGATGGTTCGAAGGCTGGCTGGGTGTTCGTCGGTAGGGGTGTCAGATAGTTATAGTGCGGTAATGTTGCTTGTAATGAGTGACGGTGTGACGACGTTGATGTGACTTGTCGCACGGGTTGGGAATCGGTGACGGGAATGTAGATCACAATGGACGAGACAAAGATGGAATGATGTGGGTTGGGAGTGCGAGAGTTGGAGTTGGGTCGCCAGGTTATATGAGTAAGACTCTGCTGATAGCACCACCAGACTAGTGTGATGATGGACAGGGTTTCGGTGGCTCCGAAGGCGGTAAGTGGTGGTTTGGATTCAGAGACGATCAGGGCGGAAGGGGAAGAAGGTGTGGTGGAAGCTTTCAAGCCATGGGCTGTTGATTGTTTCTTGCAAGATGGCGCTCCATCCTTGGTCGCCAGACGCAGTGGTAGCCTTTTATGAACCAACGTGTCTCTGCTTGGATCGTGAATCATCAACTCGACCAGGACCGGGGCTGGATCGGCCAGCCCTTGGCTGTCCCGACGCCTCTCATTCCCATCTCTTCATTGACGTCTCGGTGTTCCTGGATTCTGAATCGAAATCGATAGCACCGTGCACTCTCAGCCAAAAGCTAAACCTGCATCGAGTAAGGCTGGATCGAATGGCTGCGGCGGCACTGGTACAATGGAGGAAAGAGTAAAAAGTAGGATTTGAGACATTGGATGGCGTCCAACGTTAAAAATGTGGTGGCAGCGGGGCATGAGCCAAGGTACGAGGTGTTCGATAAACCGGAATAGGAAAGTTGACAGCTTTGCCCATTGTGTCAGTGGTACCTCCCGCCATCTCATCCGATGGGCTCAGAGGCCTCGATTGGTTCAGGGCGATTCGCCGGTGCGCTCTCCTTCTGCCTTACGTGGTTCCGGCTGGGATCACGGCTTCGGAGTAACCCTGAGGGATGATCTGTTTGCAGCCAAGCGGGTCAGGAGGGCGTCGGCCCTTTCATCAGTGGCATGAGATGGCAAAACTTTAACTCGATGGTGGTTTGTACCAACGGTGCCAGGCTCCGGATCGGAACGGAACGCCACCGATCCTGGCCCCAGTCCCTCTCGACCGGCTGGGTTACCTCATTCGGTGGTGAGGGTCCGGCTTCCAGGCAGGGGAATAAACTTCTGTCCAGTCCGGTTGTACCTGAGTGAGCCGTACCCGCAGGGGCGTCGATCTTACGCGATTGCTGTTGTCTCGCATCTATAGGCTTCCCGTTCCACTGGACCGGAGACCACCGCTGCAGTACGATCGCAGCGTCCGATTGCGCCTCGCAATGACGGTATGTTTGAGACCAATTGCTGTCGCGGCGAGTGCCGGACTGTGGACGAGAGCGAGACTTTTTCCCCTGCGATAAGGACACCCTTGTACCAGATTCCAGCGATACCGAGGCCATCTGAGACCGCAATTAGGTGTTACTTTCGAGTCCCGCCACGAATGTCGATGGACGTGTCCGGTATCACCCAGATCTGGATCGCATGTCTTACACCCATATCTGCGTTGTATCGGGCGATCAGCTGGAACCGGAGTCCCGCTGAATGATTCCCATTGCAATCCAGATCGAAGTCTCCCTACTCGCTTCCAAGTCTCACGCATCGCTGCAAATGGAGCTTGATACCTCGTCAGTGGCACAGCGGAACGCGCCGCATAGTCGGGAGACGCATGCAGTCTCGACTGTCCACGGGCTAACCAGCCCTCCCGGTTGCTTCCGTCCTCTCCAGGCTTCTGTCGGAGCGGACGACGCCGGCCTAAGCGATCGGGTACCTTATCCGGCGCAAGCGGGATGTGGCATCCCGTCAATGCCGGGTCGGGGGCGGGGGGTTCGAATATGCTTAATTCTTTCTGCGCACTTGCTGTGGTCGTAGGGCGATGACGATGGATGCCACAATCGAATCGAACCCTCACGAGATAGTCACCGTCTTGGGTCAGTGTCACCGCTCCTCTGTCCAGGATTGGCATCGGTCGATGGGAAGAGATCGTCTATGCCGATCGGATCGCTATTTTTTCGGTCCGGGATTGTGGGAGCCTGGATGATGATATCAAACACCGTCAGTATCTCGGGAAGCTGGCTCCCGTTGTGATGGGCTACGACGCGATGAGGAACGGATCGTCTACGATCGTGTGCACGATCGCTTGGCAAATTCCTCGTACCTTTGTCAGGAGTCTCAACCTGTCGATCCTTCTGTCTTTGTGCTAATTGCGCTGTCTGTCAGTCAATTAGTCTGACTCCCCGACCCGTAGGCACGTGCGCAACTAGCTGTCATGACGATGCAGACCAGCGGCTGCTGACACATTTGACGCGAATGCGTTTCGTCTAGTCACTGGATGCGATTGCATGTCAGCCTGAGCGTGTGTGGGTGCCGGAGGAGGTGTGGCTGTGGCCGTTCCTCGAGCTGACCTAGTGATCGGCCTCGTCATACCTCGATTGCGTCTCTCTCAAAAGGTCTATCACTTAGATGTGATCGCTCTCCTGTCGACTAGTCAGCCTCAGCAGTGATCTTCCTCCTAAGAATCCGCTGCCGGTGAATGTGAGGGGGGCGTATTGAATCGTTACTCAGGGGTCAGTGAACTCCGTCGTGGGTCTCAGCAGCCAGCTGCGCAACAGCATGTCGAAGCGCCGCATTCAACAGTGAGGTACAGTGTGTTTTCGAGCGCTCAAGGCGACCTGCACAATTGAAGCTAGCAAGGCTCGCTCGAGCTGACACCAAAAACAGCTGACTGCGTAAGATCGGTCTATCCTCTATGGAGTCATTCATGAGCAGCATCAAAATAGCTTAATATCGAGCGTTGATAGTCTAGTGGTTAGGATAACTCCCTTCCATCAACGGAAAGTTAGGAGTTGACCGGCGTTCGAATCGCCGTCATCGCATGATCTTTTTGCGTTTTGCTCTTTTTTTTGACAGGGTCCGTGTATGCAAAGGCTGGACGATATGCAGCCTATGTACGGCGCTGAGTCTTCGCGTCCATATCCTGACAGTCTCGTTACCACCCGACTGATTGTCTTCAAGAGCACGACGGAGCAACTCGACACCGTGCACCGCTTCGACGCGACGTACCGGACTTTTCAGGCACAATCAGTCAGAAGGTGGAGTCGGCCCTTTTACTTTCGCACCTTCGCGTCCCGTTACTACTCGCTGTTCACTTCATCTTGCAACGCAGAACGGGCTACCTGGCCATTTCCACTCCTTAAGCTCGCGGTCACCACCCCCTCTCTCTGTCTCACTGCGCCATGGCGGTCAAGACGTCCACCGCTGTTCCTTCTGCTACCGACGGTCGACGTGACATTCCCGTTCTCTCCCGTTCGGACATCGCTTTCAAGATTTGCTCGGGTCAACAGCTCGTCATCCTTCACGACTCCATACTGAATGTCACGTCATGGGCGCCCTTTCATCCCGGAGGAGCCCTTGCCCTGCTTCACTTTGTAGGCAGGGACGCGTCGGGCGAGATCGAGGCGTACCATTCGAACGAGACTCTGGAGCGGATGAAGAAGTTTGTCGTAGGCAAGGTCGAGGTGGATGAGAAAGGATGGATGCCTCTCACCCCTCCCATCGCTCTCGGCCTGGTACAACATCCTGATGGAAACAAGGGCCACTGGGCACGAGAAGGAGCTGTGACCCTCGGCGAATCGATATTGCAAAAGGGTATATCTCTGGATCCTGCCTCGGCACCGATACCCTCTATCCCAACCGCCCGCTCGATCCCGCCCAACCCACCCGTCATCATCATCACGCCAAAGGACCTGGAGCCCGTCATCTCGGACATAGATAGGCAGAGGGAACAAATCAGACTACAGGCGTATCACGAGCTGAGAAAGAGGATTGTAGAGGCTGGCTTGTTCAAGAGGCCCGGACCGCTGGCCGGTTACGGGTCGGATCTGATCAGGTATACTATACTTGGCGGAGGTTCGCTCTGGCTATTGAAGAAGTAAGCGTTTTTTTCCCGAGCAGTGAGATAGCCTGCTGATTGTTGAGCCTTTAGTACCGACTCCTGGAGCGGAGCTATGGCATCCGCATTGATGCTTGGATTATTGTTCCAGCAATTGGCCTGTGAGCGATCTCTCACAGTGTCACACAAGCGGTCACGCTAATACACCTCGCAGTCCTGGTACATGACGCAGGACACACCGGGGTGACTGGAGATTACTGGTGGGACCGTGTCATCGGTATGACTGTAGCAAGCTGGATAGGAGGGCTCAGTGTGGGATGGTGGTGCGACGTGAGTGACTCGGTGGTCGACTGATTTGGATGTGGCTGACCCGAATCTCACGACAGAACCACAACATTCACCATCGTGAGTCTTGTGCCTGCATACAAGTACCAACCTGAATCAGTCCTGTCACTGACACCTGACAGTCGTGACCAATCATCCGGAGCATGACCCGGACATCCAGCACATCCCATTCTTTGCCATCACGAAAGACTTCTTTGGCAGCTTGTGGTCATCTTATCACAAGCGAGTCATGACCTTGGACATCCCCTCCAGGTTCCTCATCTCGGTGCAGTGAGTGGTCTGCAGAGCGATATGATCGTCTACTCCCTCCCCTGACCGGTCCCTCCTTAGGCATAAGCTTTACTACATTGTCCTCTCCCTTGCTCGATTCAACCTATACGCACAGTCCTACATCTACCTGCTTGGACCCAAGCCCAAGCACGACAACTTTTGGCGATACGAGATTGCGGGAATAGCATTCTACTGGCTGTACTATGGTGCAATCCTGCGCAGTCTGCGCTCTTGGCAGATGAGCCTGGCCTATCTGCTGGTCAGTCATGTTGCTGCCAGTCCGGTACATGTTCAGGTGGGTATGATTTACATTCGGTTCGCCAATGTTGCTGACTGCTTCATCACAGATCGTCCTTTCTCACTTTGCCTGTTCTACCGAGGACCTCGGACCCACCGAGTCTTTCGCCTCTCGACAGCTGCGAACGACCATGGACGTCGTCTGCTCCCCAAATATCGAATTCATTCACGGTGGTCTTCACCTTCAAGTCACCCACCATCTGTTCCCTCGATTGCCCCGACACAACCTCCGCCAGGCGAGCTTGCTGGTCAAGCAGTTCTGTGAGCAGCAGGATATCGTCTACAAAGAGTATGGGTGGATGGATGGGTGAGTGTGGTGTCTGAGCAGCGTAGTATGGTGCTAAAGCCATCAAACCACCAGCAATCGACAAGTCCTGTCGGTCCTCAAGGATGTCGCCAACCAGCTCGAGCTGCTCAAGAAGGTAGCAGATGGCGAGATCAGGGAGAAGCTGGCTGGATGAAGGACGTTCTCTTAGCTATGCCGGTCATATGCAAATGCCTCTTGTATTCCCTTTTGCCTCAGGCTGTGTCGATTTGATCCCGTCCGCATGCGGCACGATAACCGGCGGTTTCCAGCAATGCCTTCCAGCATTCAGCTCGATTGCTTTCTCTCTGTAGGTGTTCACAAAGACAATCACCGGCAGCACAGTATCGAGCTCATGGACGACCTACTCGACCTGAGCTGGTCAGATCCGGCCAAGGCGATCGCAACGAAACCGGCGGTCACCAGCTCGACGCCCGCTTCCTTTGACTTCCTCTCGGCAGCTAAACCGGTGTCTGGAACGGGAACACCCAACTACTATTCCTCCACACCCTTGCGTACCGGTACACCGACTCAGCAACCTGCGAGCAACGTAACTGTCTCACAAGGCGCTCGACCGGGTCAACCACTAGCCCCAGCGTCAGGTCGTCACACACCCGTCCAGAATGCCCTTCCCGCGGCCACGTCAAGCGCTAACAGCGGGGGGCTCGACGCGTTCTCGTCACTGCTGGCGATGCCTAGCGTTCCCGGAGGGCCCATGAAGCAGACCATGACCATGGCGGAGAGACAAAAGGCAGCGGAAGACGAGAGGAAGCGAAAGGAGGAAGAGGATAGGAGGCGTTTCGAAGCGGAAGGTGACTTTTGGGACAACCTCGGTTCGAGCTCGAAGAGCGGGTCCGCGGGTCTTCCGGCTGTCAACAGGCCGACCTTGGCGTCAAACGACTTGCTCAAACCTGCCACAGCAGCCGTCGCCTCTAGAGGCACATCGCCTATTCAGCTTTCTAGCGACCTCCTGGCCCCTGCGCCCGCTCGAGCCCCCTCAACTACTTCCAAGTCAGCGGGGACCTTCTGGGACCAGTACGAACCTGGGCTCACGCCTCAGACGACCGCGTCAAAGCCAAAGTCATCGACCCCACCTTCGGATCCCTTTGACTTTGACACCTTGGCTCAGTCTGTGCCAGGCGGAAGCAACGGTTCTAGCGTGAAAACTCCGGCGACGAGCTTTAATGTCGGCAATACCGGTGGGAGTGGGGGACTACTGGACGATGATGATATCCTGGGTGATCTCGCCAAGCCTGTCTCAACGATGCCGACTAGCGCAAAGGTGAGTGTACTGTAAGTCTGCCTGGTGAAGGCTAAATCCGGTGACAGCCACAGCCTGGGCCTTCACAAGCGCCGAGGCAAAGCATGACCCAGCGCTCCATGTCTCCTCCGCCTCATGTCGTAGGGCAGATCGTCGAGATGGGATTCTCACCGCAGCAAGCCAGGCAGGCGTTGGCGAAAACGGAAACGGGAGTAGACGTTCAGGCTGCACTCGAAATGCTACTCGGAGGGCAAGGCACAGTCAGGCAACCACCCAGTCGTACCCAGGGATCCGCCTCTGAGGACGAGGGCGACGACGACATGGTCGAGATGCAGCGACGCCGGCGTGAGGAGGAAGAACGGGAGAAGCGTCGTCGTAGGAGAGCGGGACCGTCTCGAGACTCGGTCCGGGCGCGTACGCAGGAGGAGCGCGACGAGGAAGCTACCACTGCTGAGCAGGCGGAAAAGTACCTCGCACAGGCTTCGGAGATCGGCGCCAACATGTTTAGCAAGGCGACTTCCTTCTGGAACAGCAGCAAAGAGAAGGCACTGAAGGTGTACGAGGAGCAGAGGAAGGCCATGGAGGCTGCTGCAGCGAAAGAGACGGGGGATGGAGCGAGGAAGCCGGTGAGAGATGGGCGACCCAAGTGGATGACGGAGGCTGCATCGGATGAATCGGGAGACGAGAGACCCGATCAAGCGGGAGGTTTCAAAGACAGCGATGAAGAGGAAGAGTTCCGCACTGTGCCTCGCCAGACCAGGCGTGAAGTCAACAACGCCATTGGTGGTCCATCGCGACAAAGCAGGCCAGTGGAGACTAACGGCAGGGATCGTCAAGATGCTCCGTATAGATCAGCCAAGGAACGGGCCGATCTGCTATTCGCCGACGAGGAGCCGAAACGATATGTGTCACCTGCTCGGCATCTGAAGAAGCCTGCTGCGACCGCAGTCCCTCCTCGAGCTCGCGCCGCGACACCAGTTGTGGCCCTGCGGAAACGTCAGCTTGTCCCAGCCGATTCACAACAGCTTCAGGCTGCTGCCAAGCACAAGCTCATGGGCAACGAGCATTTCAAGCTCGGCCGCTTCGCTGAGGCAGACAGCGCGTACTCGACCGCCATCTCGTCGTTGCCCGAGGGGCATCTCTTCCTTGTCCCCTTGCACAATAATCGAGCTGCTGCTCGACTCAAGCTTGGAGATTCAGCACCCGCAGCGTCCGACTGTACCGTAGTGATCGACCTGATTGGGCCATCCTATCATCCCTCCAAAGAAGCGCCACTGCCAGCTGAGATAGCATCCGAGGTCAAGCTGGCCGATGGTCTGGTCAAGGCCATGACGAAGCGAGCCCAGGCATGGGAGATGGGAGAGAAATGGAAAAATGCTGTGGACGATTGGGTCCGGGTCATGGGGATGGACCTATCGATGCTTGGGTCCGGAGCGGCATCGACCAAGAGTCTGGCTGCGGAGGGAGCGCGAAGATCCCGAAAGATGCTCGAAGGCGGTGAAGCGAG